CACAACAAATTCACAAATCACATCCATTAGCATATCATTCAAGTAGAATATTAAATTTAAACGATGAAATTGCTAAATTGAATTTAAGTAATGATAGCTTATTAAATTATGAAATATAATTTAATAGGACAAATTAAATAGTTGATTTAATTACAATGATAATTGTAATAATAATAATAATAATAATAACGATAAGTAGTTGATAAGGTTAAAGTTGAATAATTGTTGGGTAGATAGATAATCACCATTTATTAATTATTTTCATTATTTTTCATATGGGAAATTAGATTTTGTTTGCTATGCGTATAAATGCATCCTATGTGCGAAATTTTTAATATGCACCTAGTTGCAAAAAAAAAATCTTTTTTTTAATAAATTTGCCCTTAAAAACTTTGTTAGTAATCATGAATGAAATTGGCCTTTCAAGTAATTCTGAAAGCAAAAGCGAATTTATACCAATCACCACGTCTTTAGTGAACATTCCTGAAGATAGTAATGTTACTGAGAAGGAGGAAGAGAATGAGAACGAGAAGCTAGATGTTGAAGCTAATATAAATTAGACTTTAATATGCATTTCCAATTTGGAAGTTAGTATTAAGGACATTGAACAATCGGCACAACAACTAGGATTTAAGTTTAGAAGGGATAGATCAGAAAACTTTTGAAAATGACATATGAAAACAAACTCTTGTTTGTAGTTGTGATGGTACCAATAAAAAAAGAATTAGGATCAAACCATCTAAATCATCGTAATTGGCATTTAAATATTTCGCACCCTATCGGAAAGATCCTTCTGCAAGAAAATTTGAACATTTACCAAGCTTATGCTAAATGATATTGAATAGATGTGTGTATATGGACATTTAAAACCTCTTGCAATAACAAGTTTCATATTAAAATTCGTGTGCATTGCTTACAAAAATTAAAAAAATAAAGTATACAAAATTGTTTAAATTTTATTGTTGTTGATTCAATTTTTGTTTTCTTTGTGACAATAAACTCCTCGTTAGGAATTAAACGGGAATATGGCACAATTTTTGTTGATAAGTTCTCAATAGTAGTGTTGAAATTATACTCTTTAATTCTTTAAAATCAATTTCATCAATATCCAAGTAAAAATTTCTTTTAAATTCAAATCATCTTTTTGTGTTGATTTTTGAAATCCTTATCTAGTTCTTCATCAATTAATCTTTTAAAAATATTTTTAAAGTAAACGACTAAATGATAAATTTTGTTGGAATAGTTGTTTTTCTTTTGTAATTAATGCGCAACTCAATTCATCACACGCCACAAAAAGTTCAATAAAAATATACCTTTTTTTTTTTTAAAAAAAGTAAAAAAATTAATGTTAATTGTAGCAATTGATTAAATATTAAATTAAACCTACAATAAAATAACATCAATTAGTTTTATCATTTTTCTATTTTTTTGGAGGGATTAGAAAATCAATAAAAGTTTGGCAACTAGGTATCCTGCACTGTACATGAAGATTAATTTATTATTTTTTACGGTTGAGTGATATTTACTTTATTTCAAAGAAAGAAAAATGAAATGACATAATAACTTAAAATTTAAATGCATAATTTTAATTAATTTAATTAATTTATGGCACGAAGGAAAAAAAAAACCAAAAAAAGCAAGAATTGAAAGATTTATGCCCAATAACCTAAATATTTAAGATTGATATTAGAGTTAAAATTATGTAAACATTACAATAAAAAAATCATAAATAAACACACCAATCAAAGCCATCATTCCAGCACCAAGAAGCAAAAGAAAAAATGCATAAAATTTTTGAAGGGCAGAGTATTTTCGAAACTGGGAACCGTAAATGAAGTCACTTGCAAGAAGAATTATTAAAACATTTAAAGAAAAACAAGATGTTGCAGTAAGCAAGGAGCGACGCGCTATCCCCAAAAAAGGTCACGGGCCTACCTTTTTTTATTAAAAAAATATATGTTTGAATTACATTTATTACAGTAATAAACATTTTACATCAATCCATCAAGCTATTTCATTACAAATTTTAGCTACTAATTCTTTCCTGTTTTGTGTTAATAAATTATATAAGTTATTAAAGGACATTTTAACTTTTTAATATTTAATTTTTAAAAAAAATAAGCAAATTATTTTCTATTTGACAACATTTCTTTTTGTGGTATTTTTTTTTTGTGACCCAGTATCAAATTTTAAAAACCAAATATTATACTTGCTAATCCTATTCAAACAACTTTTCTACTCTATCAGGTTTTAATTTTTTACGCTTTGGTGTAATATGGTTTCCAGCATCACTAAATAACTGTTCTGCAGGAACAGATGTATAGGACTTTATGTTTCGTCAAAAGTTTATATTTTTTTTTATTTGGTGGTCTACATAAGCTATCATTGATGATGGGATCTGACGAAAAATTAGAAATTGTTTCTTCACAAATTAAAATAATGCCATCATTTATTATTACTGAAGACATCTTAATTAATATTAAGTATTACGAGTATTACGGATATTAATATAATAATAATAATTTTTTTTTTTTTGCAAAAGATTGTTAGTTTTATTTATTAAGAATTTATTTTTATTATACATAAATAATTTCCTCGTGTTATAAAAACTTTACCCACATGTATATACATCGTGAATATAATAATTATTTTAATACCTAATACTAATACTAATACAAATGTGAATATTCGAATAGTAATAGTAATATGCTTCTTGGGATTTCTTTGATTTCTCTGTAGTAAAAATATAGTATAAATAAGTGCACTAAAAACAAAAAGTAAATCCAAATGCAAAATTTAAAATATTGATATAGTGAATCTTCATATTGAGAGTCCGTTCCTTGTTTCATCTAAAATACTTGATTTTAAATTCAGTTAAAACTTTATATTTCAGATCCCTTTGATTTCGGACTTTAAATGATGAATTAATTTCAAAAGCAAAGCAATCAATCACCTGGGACACAATAATACAAACAACTTCAAGAAGAATTATTAAAACATTTAAAGAAAAACAAGATGTTGCAGTAAGCAAGGAGCGACGCGCTATCCCCAAAAAAGGTCACGGGCCTACCTTTTTTTATTAAAAAAATATATGTTTGAATTACATTTATTACAGTAATAAACATTTTACATCAATCCATCATGATTAACTTTCTCCAATCTCTCATACTCGATCAAAACACTTTTGAACATTTTATCCGAGAAAATCAGATTTCAGGATGTGTAAGTTTCCAAGGAATTTGTTCTATATATGCTTGGCCTTCAGAAAATATGTTCTCATCAAAACAGATGGCCAAACCCTGTGTTTTATTAACAGTCAACGAGAAGGAATTTGGGGCGGGAATAGTTTTCTGAAAGCCCTTTTCCTATTACTATCAATTTCAAATTGCTTGTTTCCTTTTAGGCTATTACCTTGACTATATTGTTGAATGTTGGAAAAGTAACCTCAACAACCTTTTCAAACTGCATTCTTTTCTTGATGGCCTTTCTCTTATTTCCTGGTGACTTAAAGGACCTTTTATTTTTGGAAAAACTGTTTGATTGAACAAGCGTGTCCTCATATTTTTTTCAATGTTGCTCGATTCTTGTCAACTTTTTTCCTTTTTTAATGATGATGGTGGCGATAACGACGACGATGGCTCTATAACCGGATAAGTAAATTTTAACTCCAGGGCCTCCACCTGTAAAAAAAAATATACCAGCCGTTGAAATTACAGTTCATTTAAGATTATCCTTGATGTATTGGAAACTAATGAATAAATCATTTATACAATTAGTTTCATATATCTAATGTAGTTTATATGCTAGTTTAATCGTAAAATAAATTCTTTTGCCTAGAATTGATAGGATACGATTCCAATCAATATATTTGTTTCGAGATTTTTTGTTTTAGCAACTCCATTGCAGGTCCTTTTCATCAAACCGATGCTCTCATATCCCAATTTATTATCCTTTTTGTGGGTGTTGTTAATGTACGTGCCAGTACATACGAATATAGAAAAGGTTTGTGGTAGTTGGTCATGGTCACTAGCAACCACTACCATTATTATCATTAACATGACCACCACTACTATTACTATCATTGTTAATGCAGTTACTTCTACTATTGTCGTCGTCGTCATTATTATCATCATCGTTGTCATTACTGTTGTTATTGTCTTTGTCATCTTCATCATCACCGTCATTATCACCCAATAAAAAAAACCTTGGTCGATTATATTGTTGTTTGCTAAAAATTTAACATTATAAAAAAATTAAACAAACCACAAGCAATTTTGGTTGTTATTACTACTATTAATACATACATATTTACAAGCCATCTTCCACAGTGAACCGCCCTACAGTCTGTATATTACTGATCTGGAATCTTTTTCTCGTTAGCCCATAAAACTTCGTATTCAAAAATTGCAAACGAAACCAGTGAAAATAAATAGTACACATTATTATTATACACAATTTTTTTTATCTAATCTAATTGATTGTTGATTGATAAATAGTTAAGAAAGATAACTAACAATTAATAAAACATCATGATCACATGGATCATTTAAGATCGTAAGAAAGAAAGATAGCCAGCCAACAATTAATTAATAAAACATCACAATCATATAATCGCATAGGTCACGCAAGATAAAAACTGTACAAAGCCATTTAAGCACGAAAAGTTGATGTGTACAACAATAATCTGTTAAACAAACCAACAAAACCATCACTGTCAGAAATCGAATTAAAACCAATGTTGGCTCTGCAGCTGCAGTTTATTATATATAGTTTTTTTTATATACAACGCGATTAAATTCGTGGAACACCGAAATCCTTTGTTTGTCAGGGTAAAAAACAGGGTCTTCAATTTTGCCAGAAAATTTTCTTAATATTAATACTGTATTCTTTACCCTGATCCAAAATTACATATATACTAATACTGAAATTGATATTTTTTGATTACACCAATTTTGGTTGTATCACAATAATATCAAAAATAATTTTTTTCTTTCATAAAAATGGCAAAAATAAAAAAAGTTAATGAGCCAGCAAATTTACTTAATCCTAGAACAAAAGAATATGAATTTTTAGGTCCAATTGGAGCATTTTTAATGATAACATTTTTACCTATTCTAATGTACATATTACATTTAGGCTGTACAGTGGATGGTTGTCCTTCACCAAAATACATTTCAAAATTAATCAATTTAGAATTTTTTAGTAATGATGATAATAATGATCATGAAAATTTTTATTCATTATCAGACTTTTTTGATTTTAAAATATTTATAATATATAATTTGTATTTGGTTTATTTAGTGTTATTGTGGTACATTTTACCGGGGAATTGGATTGAGGGCGTTAGATTGAGAAACAACAAAGTTTTAAAGTATAAAGAGAATGGATTCAAAACTTTAATTGTCACCTTTACATTATTATTAATTAGCTCTTATTTTTGGGGATATGAATTTTTATTGATAATTAGTGATAAATATATACAGTTTATGACATCATCAATAATAGTATCATTCATGCTATCAGTGTTTGTTTACATTAACAGTTTTAGAAATGATAAAGATTCAGTATTATTATCATTAGGTGGCAACTCTGGAAATATAATTTATGATTTTATGATTGGTAGAGAACTGAATCCAAGAATCCAAGATTTTGATATAAAATGTTTTGTAGAGCTGAGACCAGGATTGATTTGTTGGCTGTTGGTAAATATTTCAATGGCACTAAAACAATATGATGAATTGGGAACGCTGACATTTGGGATGTTGTTTATTTTGATTTTTCAAGGATGGTATTGTGTTGATTCATTGTACAACGAGGCAAATGTTCTTACAACAATGGATATTACAACTGATGGATTTGGTTGGATGTTGGCATTTGGAAATCTGAGTTGGTTGTCTTTCTTGTACCCGTTACAATCTCGTTACATCTCTTTACATCCAAAAGATTTGTCAATATTTGAAATTGTCCTTGTTATGACACTTCAGCTTATTGGCTACTCAATATTTCGAGGTGCTAATAATGAAAAAGATTTGTTTAGGAAAAATCCAGATGATGAATACGTTAAATGTACGTATATATATAAGTGATTTAATCAATTGAAATATTGAATAGGTTGGTCAGTGATATGATTAAATATTTTAATATACATATATATACATACATATATATATATATATATATATATATAGATTTAGAATTTATCGAAACTGAAGCTGGATCTAAGTTAATAATCTCTGGTTGGTGGGGAATCTCTAGACACATAAATTATTTAGGTAAGTAGTATTTTATATTATTATATTTGAAGTTATATCTATATATATGATAAATAATAATATGATTGTATGATTATAATGTTAGGTGATTGGTTAATGGCTTGGGCTTGGTGCTTAACTTGTGGTAATAATACTAAATAATGAAAATTTTATGATTGCTCACTAATAATAAACATGCTAATCAAATTGATATTTTTATTTAAATAGGATATGATGATATTTTTCCATATTTTTATGTGGTGTATTTTGGTGTATTACTTATTCATAGAGAATTGAGAGACGAAGAAAAATGCAGAAAAAAGTATAAAAAAGATTGGGATAAATATTGTGAAATTGTTAGATGGAGAATTATACCTGGTAATAATTTTTTGAATATTCTTTACTATTCTTTAAAAATAAGTTATTAAATAATGAAATATAATGAAATTTGTTTTTACCAACTTAATTTAAATAATAGGTGTTTATTAAACAAATCTCTTGACAAAAAAAAATTTAAATCAAAAATCCAAATATATTATTCCATTTTATCAAAAATTTAGATTTTGTTACACACTGATGTTTAACATGTTTTAATTCTTTCAAATAAAGAAATTTATTTGAAGTTTCAATTAGTTTTTTATCCATAAAAAATATTACAACGCTGACTGATTGGTAAAAAAGTTCACCTTTAAAAACATATTAGTAAACTTGTTAATGATTTAACAAAGTTGTTGAATGAAGCAGACATTTATGATGTAGAAATTAAAGTTGGAGTAGACCAGAATAATGTCAAAACTTTTAAGGCTCATTATAACATCTTAAAAGCAAGGTCTTCATACTTTAAAGCAGCTCTATCAACTAGTTAGGTTAAAAGATCTGAAGATGGTATTATTTTATTCGAGAAAGATAACATATCTTCAAAAGTATTTGAAATTCTTTTGACATAAGATTATCAACTTAATAGCTTAACCTAATTATGAATTTGTTAAATAATTTTTTAATTTTTTTTTCTGAATAAAACACCTAATCTATTAAAATTACTTTTATTATTACTTTTAAAAATATATTTATAATGGAATTATTGATATAAATGACTTGGATTTTTATGAAATTGGTGAACTTCTTGAAGCATGTGATGAATTAGATTTCAATGAATTACTTGATGATTTACAAGGTTACTTAATTACAAATCAAAAGAATTGGATGTACTAGCATTTAAACTATTTTTATCAAACTTTGTCAAGACATTAATCATTTAGCATGCTTAATGATTACTTTAAACAATTGATTGACAATAACAATCCACAATTATTCTTAAAATCTTACAATTCAAATGATTGTGTAAAACTAATGTTCAAGTCTTTACCAGAAAAACTTAATTCAATATTAAACGAAATGCTTATTTGGAATTGTGCTATTCAATGGGAATTGTACAACTTGAAAATGCAAATTTTCAAAGTGTAATAAAAATGATTTAAAGGGTTGAAAAATACACTAGAAGACATTATTATTCCTGAAAATGATTGAGTAATCACATTTTACCATATAAAAAGCTATTTTCCAAGGATTTGTGGAATCATATTTTGGCTTATTATTAACTCATCCAAGAAAACAAATTTTAGGTTTATTACCAGTAAGAAATGACTCAATGACAATTAATTCAAAGCTCATGTTACTTTTTGCAAGTTGGATTGATAGACAAATTCCACCATACTGTATATTTCATTCAAAGATGTCAAATAACAAATTTAAACTTTTATATTATAGCAAAAAAGATGGTTTGTCCAATAAAATATGCTTATTTAAAGACTTTTTAAAAACAATAAAGAAATGTTATTTGATCGACAAACGCGTCATTAATTATTTATTATTGGCACTTGGTGTTATACAAAGATTTTTTTTTTTGGAAAAACTATTTATTTTTTGACAGAAAAAAACACGGTTCTCCTAAAAAAGACGTGTTAATAACTAACCAGAGGTAATATATTTTATTTGCATTGATATATATATTTTAGTTTATAAATATTTTAATTGGGATCAAAACGCGGAGCAGATCTTGCCGGGTAATTACAAGATTCTTATCCGGATTTTTTCCATGATGTCATTTATATTAACTTGTAAATGTGGAATTAAACGGAATGTGAGAATAATAATAAGATTTTATAGTTCTGGAATATTATTAAGTAACTGATAAAGCAGCAAATAAAAACAGACCTTTTTATTATTAAGTAACTGATAAACTCGCAAAAAAAAATGGGCATTTTTTTTCTTATAAAACATTTTATTTGTTAAATGTAACTTGATTGAAACACATTAATCTACTAATACGGAAATTACACGGAAATACATTATTATTATTATTATTATTACTAGTGAATGTCGTTACAACGGGAGTAAATTTATATCCAAAATGTCATTAACAAGATTGTAATTATAACGAATGTCATTATAATGGGAGTGACTTGTATCAAGTTCTTTATCACATTTTATTGCTAACTATAAATATTGTGAATTAATGCATTTTTTTCTCGTTATGATGGGCTGCATGACCTGCTAATTCAAGCAATTCCGCAGTCGTATAATTGGTACTTTCATATCATTACATTTCACACAGTATCTTTTTTAAGATTATTCTTTACACGTCGATCGGGAATATTAATTTGATTTGATTAGTATATGTTTAATTTATATATTTATGATAAATGTATAATGATAATATACACCTGCTCTATGAGTTTGTGAGATTCTACTAAGGGTATGAGCTTATATCAGAGCGAAATGATGTCACTTTGGACAATCCTCTTAGTAGTTGTTGTATTGGTATTAACAGTTTCAGTGGTATTGGCAGTTTCAGTGGTATTGGCAACCTCAATTGGTTCTATAAGATCCAAATTATATCAAATTTATATACGTGTGCTTTATAATGATATAATTTATAATTGGCAAACTGGAAATAAAATAATAATTTACCTTCATTATCATAACTGTAATTCTCATCACCATAGCCATAATTTTCGTTATAATCTTCATTGCCATATAGCTTGTAATGTCTGTCAATGTGATGTAAAATTAAATATTAAATTAATAAATTACTAATTCACTTACTTCTTCATAATTCTAATTCATTTACAAGTTCTATAATAATTGTTTCAATATATTACCCTTTTCGTTGTTTAATTTGGTTTCGATATTACCAATGTTATATCCATATTCTCAATTAATAGAAGTTTTTATATCGTTTATTATATTTTCAACTTTGTCATTATGAAATTGGACTAATGTTAACTTTATTTGTATCTTAAAAAATTCGAGTTTATTAAAAGAAAATAACCAATCCTGACGACCATTTAATGATATTTACGTGTTGGGTCGATGATGATGGTGAAAAATGGTGTCTCAAGAAATAAATAAATACCAAGTCCCAACCTAATTATGACGACAAGTGGCGACAACCACCATTCTTTTTTCAAAAAATAATAATAATTGTTATTGTCAACCATTTCTTTTTCTTCTCTTCTTCTCTTGTCGTAATTTTGCTTGGAAATCTTGTATTTATTTTCTTTTGAAATAGAAAAAGACATGTTGAAAAAAAAAATTGAAAAAAATTTTTTAATTTATTATTGGCATATGAAGATTTTTTTTAATGACGACGTAATCTTGTTGTGACGTTTTATTAATTTAAAATTGATTGATATGCAAAACATAAAAAAGTTTTAAATCATTTATATACAATGAATGCACAACCCCCCCCCCGTTTTACCACAAATGATATTCGTTTGGAGCAACTTGGCGTCGTGGGTTTGTTTTTTTGTTTTTTTGGAAACCAATTTATTTTTGAAGGAGTTCAAGATGACAAAACGTGAGTGCTGTTGTTTGGTATGGTTTGGTTAGGCTCCCTGACAATTCCAATTGAAGTGATAGGTCCTTAAGTGGGTAAAATTTGGGAAATTTTTATTCAAGTCATATATATAAAAATCATGGGTAAAAGTTCACATATGTAGTGTGACTATTTGTGGGTTTAGCAAAAAATCATGTTATATATATATATGTTCTTTCTGTCATTTTAATATGCAAAATGTTTGTAATTTCACAACAAAGAGAAATTCTCGTTACGTTACTAGTTGTGAAAAAGAGATTATAACTTATTCTTTGAAACTATTAGAAGAAAAGGAAACACAGAATCGTTATGTAAATATTATAATAAAAGATTCGGAAAAGGACAATGGATAATTAACTGAATTCGGTAAAATAAAATTTCAAGAACTCGAGGAGGTAATTTCCACCGTAAGCATCATGCTTTTTTATATTCATGATTATTAAAAATGATGATGATACTCAAAAAAAATATGGTAAGTTTCTCCTGAGATCTTAACCCGGTAGGATACCATGAAACATGGATTCTAGGTCTAATTCAAGAAATATTTAGTATCAATTTGACAAACTTGTGAAAACAGTAGCCTGTATTTTATGGTACAAAAGATTCGTTGATATTAGGAGAACTTGACCAAGGAAATAAGAATATAATCAATTATATACTTCTAAATCTGATCATTAGCTTTGTTAATTTAAACATATCATTTTAAAAAAGGATCTAGCATTCTAACATATTATTTATTTCATTTTTTAAGAAACAAAGTGCTCATAAAAACAGCATGGGTCAATATAGATGGTAATAAATGAGTATATGGCTTTATTAAAAAATTTACTATCAAAGATAAAAAAAAGTATTATAATGTTTTGCGAATTAAGTTTTTGATTATTTGCATCACAATAATTATTAAAATAATTTGTTGTATCTTGTTACAGAAGAATCAACATCTGAAGATAGTTTTGATAATACTCCCGATGATGATGATAATAACAATGATAAGGAATATGAAGATATCAATGCAGTTGACGAAGAATTCGACATAGATCGTTTTCATGAAAAGATTTCATATGTAAGATTATTTATTAAGCTACAATTTCTGTTCAAATTTTCTATTTTTAAATTTTTTATACACCAAAAAGTATCCTGAAACAGAAAGCATTAGATATTTCGCTTGAAGTATTAAATCGACGAGATTGATGAAGGAAACCTCTTAACAGAAGGGATCGTATTTGGAAACTGAACAACCTATATTATTCAAAAAAAGAAGCTTCTGGATCTTCAATATAACAAGGAACATTGTGTTAAATTGGTTGGTTAAGAGAAAATTATAATCAAAAATCTTATAATTAATAATGATGTCAACCTATAAAATATTCATTATTGAGATAAACGATCACGTCTTGCACTGGTGGAATTTGTATGCACATTTAAAAAAATCTGGACAATTAATTCGTATCAAAATCGCGAAAAAAAGTACCGTAAAATCTCGAAAGATGGCACCCCTTTTTACAACTGCTTACAATTGTGCAAACGATTTTCAATTGTTTTAAAGTAGGGGGTGCTATCTTTGGGAGTGTTATCTTTCGAGACTTTATGGTATTAACGAAAAAAACTTTTT